GTGGCCCACCATGATGAAAGACGCGAAGCCGTACGTTGAGATTTGTCAGGTGCGTCAAAGGGACAAGCCACATACACAGGCCCCTCTTGGGCTACTCAAGCCCCTTCCGATTCTGAAAAGGCCTGGTGCGAGCCTGTCCATGGATTTCATGGATACGCTGGTTACCAGCAAGAGTGGTATGAGATATGTTTTCATCATTGTGGATAGGTTCAGTAAGCATACTAGGTTAGTTGCTATGTCGCAAACAGCGACGACAGAGTACATAATCAAACTATTTAAAGAGAACCGGGTCAGAGACTTTGGCCTGCCAAACTCCATCGTTAGTGACCGAGATGTACAATTCAAGAGTGAGCTGTGGAAGGCTGCGGCTGCTGAACAAGGGACTCCGCTGCAGATAACCTCAGGGAACCACCCAGAGGCAAAAGGACAAGCAGAGCAGCTGAACTGCACTGTACAACACCTGTTGAGGCACTACATTAAGCCTAATCAGGTGAACTGGGACGAGAAGCTCGCACTCATCGCCAGCCTGTACAACAGCGCTGTGCACAGCGCGACAGGGGTGAGCCCCAACAGTCTGCTCCTAACCATTAAGCCACAACTGCCTCTAGATTTCTTACTACCTAAGAACCAATCCACTGCTGCGCCGGGTACCTTGGAGTTCGCTTACCGATATGAAAGTCTTATGCAGCAAGCAGTGGACAGCATGCACAAAGCCCAGGCGGCGATGATAGACTCAGAAAACAAACACCGCGGCCCTTCTACTTTCCAGGTTGGGGATAGAGTTTGGGTCAAGTCAAGAGCACAGGATTTCCCGAAAGCTCATGCCACAGTACCTCGGACCATGGCAGGTTCTAGACATTATCGGAGATGATCCCGACGGGCCTACAACACCTGTTGACGCACTACATTAAGCCTAATCAGGTGGACTGGGACGAGAAGCTCGCACTCATCGCCAGCCTGTACAACAACGCTGTGCACAGCGCGACAGGGGTGAGCCCCAACAGTCTGCTCCTAACCATTAAGCCACGACTGCCTCTAGATTTCTTACTACCTAAGAACCAATCCACTGCTGCGCCAGGTACCTTGAAGTTCGCTTACCGATATGCGATGATAGAGTCAGAAAACAAACACCGCGGCCCTTCTACTTTCCAGGTTGGGGATAGAGTTTGGGTCAAGGCAAGAGCACGGGATTTCCCGAAAGCTCATGCCACAGTACCTCGGACCATGGCAGGTTCTAGACATTGTCGGAGATGATCCCGACGGGCCTTCCTATTTAATACAGATCCCTGGTCACCTTCGCATTTGCCCTGTCTTCCACGCCTCCAAACTTGCACCTTCCAAGGAAACTGATCCGTTTCCCTCTCGTCGGTCTATGCTGCCCCCAACCATGGATGGAGAGGTCCACATCGACGAAATTGTTGATCACAGGGCAATGTCGGTTCCAAGATCAACAGGCAGGGGCTGTCTTCCAAAGCCAAAGCTACAGTATCGCATTCGTTTCAGACATCACACTGATCCTAAGGAGGACAGATGGTTCACAAGAGAGGTACTGATGCAGACCACTCCACAAGTTGTTGCTCAATATGAGAAAGCACTGCAGAAAGGAAAGCGCCAGATTGAGCGAGTGATTGAACTTCTCGGAGGACTGTCAAAGTATGGAGGAGGGAATGCGAGGCCACAGCCCGCCCTGGATGGCCGCCCTAAGTGAAGGCGGCCCTGCAAAGTGGGGCTCAGACAGTTACGCTGCATCAGTTGGTTGAATGAACCCAGGCCATGGGCAACAGTATCCTGTCAAGGGCTTCTAGGCCCTTCCAATATTTTTGGGCACGGGCCCTGGGGCAGACACGGGGCACAAACTGCAGCATAACTACCCGGGGCCCTGCGTAATACTCTGGCCTCAGGCACTTGGGGCCTACTGGAAGCTTCTGGGCAGGGGCCCAGCGCAGCCAGGCAGCACGCAGCAGGCAGGCCACTTCCATAAAGGAAAGTGCCTGCCTCCGCAATTGGCATTCGGGCACTCGCTGCATATGTGCAAGCGCTGCTGCGCCAGCTGCTGGAGCGAGTGCCTACTCGCTCACTGACGAGCAGGGAAGAAGCAGGCGGCCATCGCCAAGCTGGCCTGCGCTTTGCTGGATGGAGCGCATGGTGGTCCTTGGGTGCATGTGGCATCTGTGTGGGAGATCGAGGTTGTGAGTAAAGCGTGAGACATACCTGGTGCTTGAGGCGAACGGCATTGGCCGCGATCTGCTCGTACTTCGGGAAGCTGTTGACGTCACCAGCGGCATTGTAGATAGGCTAGATAGGATCTGCCATTCGTAGTCTGGGCACTGAGCGCCAGATAGGGAGTCGACATTGGTTCATTGTTGATGATGATGAGACTATTCCAACATTGTCACTTGTGAGCATTTGCTGTGCTCTTATTTGGTGGAACTCAAGTTGCAATTCAGCTTTTGGTTCGAGGTCAAGACTATCTGGTTTCATGTGTATAATGCTGCTTCGTTTTCTGGAATTCGGTATCGCTCATTTACCTTGCAGGTTTCTTTATTAACAAAAAAAAAAAAAGCTTCAAGTCAGGCATATTCCGCATAAACCACCACTACCCCAGCCGTCCCAACTTGGGGGGGAGCCGTAGCACAGGTTCATGAGGACAACCGGTAGCACAGTGGGGAGGACAGGCGAATGGCAAATTGGTTGAATTGCCACCGCAAATTTATTTCACGGTTGAAACAATGGTTTTTTTTTTTGCGTTAAAGATCACAATCAAATCTACAGACCCTCCACTATTCAGAGCTTTCGAGTTATTCGTCGGGGCACAAAGAAACACCAAGTTCGGGTACTTTTTCCGTTGGCCCACACGTGGTAGAGTGGCAAAAACGGAAAATGCAACAAACGGCGAGGCATTTATTTCACAATCTAAAATACATATTTTTCCTGGAAAGATCACAATCTAATCTACAGGATCTCAAATTTTCAGATTTTTCATCGATTCTTCTGAGCGTGAAAAAATGCCAAAGTTGGCTCTTGAATATTACTGGACCTGCCTGCGCCTGCTGATCGCCACCCCCCCGTAAAACCCAGTCCGTATGGCCAGGAAAGCCAAATTTCCGACGTCGGGGGTAGTGGTGGTTTAATGAGGTTGATAAGACCATCCTCCTTGAGTGGTCCCCTGCTTTGAAGGCTCCATCTATTGGTGGGGAGCTGCACCTGCTGGAAACCGGGTCCAGTGTCTGTAACCAGGTAGAAGTAAAGCCAGTGTGGGTACGCCCGCACACTTGAAAAACATCAATGAGATACCCGGGGTTTATATCAGTCCATATCTACAGATTTCATGGTCCAGAGCTCTCACTGTCTCTCTCTCTCTCTCTCTCTCTCTTGCTCTCACTCTGTGTGTGCGTGTGTGTGCGTGTGTGCATATATATCGTCAAATAGAACTGCCCGGTAAACCGTAGGCAGAGAGGGAGAAGAGGACAACAAACGAGGGGCTGTGACAAACTGTTTCGTCGGAGTTTATCGTCAAATAGAACTGCCCNAAACCGTAGGCAGAGAGGGAGAAGAGGACAACAAACGAGGGGCTGTGACAAACTGTTTCGTCGGAGTTTCACCGACTCATCAGGAGGCTATATATATATATAGTAAAAGGGCCTTTACGAATCAGACCCCAAATGGGCCCCAACAGCAAGGGGCCCTGTCGGCCAGAACTTAAATTCGTGAGCAGCAACCGAAAAGACAAAGTTCCTGAGATGAATGTCGCCTCCATAATGAAGTGAAAAGTCATCTTGAAAGGTCACAAACAGGTCCTGGACGAACAGGTATCGGGCACAATTTTCAAGACTGAGTTAGGGTCATGTCTCCTCGGTGAAAAGGCATGTCTGTTCGGCAGTGAGTCAAAGGCTACGGTCCCAGTCCAGTCATAATCCCACGAGTCAGTCCTGATTCAGACCAGGAGTCCAAAAGACAGGCCCGATGACCCAAAGCAGCAGCAGACCATGGGAAAAGATACTGGGACACACACTTTGCAACAATCGGTACTGGGCAGGAGTCCCAGGCACACGGCACACTTGAGGCTGAATGCAGGCCACACTATACCAGTCCAGCACTATAAAGGACTGGCCAGCCTCCCATTCGGACAGATGCTCACTTCGCATGAGAGTGTGGAAGTGTCGTGGCACTTGTGCGCTAGATGTGTGTGAACTGCGCTAGGCTGAAGAGCAGCGCTATGCGGGAAGGAGGAAGAGAGTGCTGGCTAGAGGGAAGGCAGCCATAGCTGCGCCAGCGCTAGTTAGTATGTTAGTAGGGATAGTCAGTAGGAGGAACCAGTGAGTAATATTCAGAGTAGAACCTCGTGTGATAGGGAGTGTGCATGCATGATGAATGAGGGTAGACCAGTACTATAGACATAGAGGGAGAGAGAGAAGTAGGCAGACGAGAGAGGGGGAAGTGTGAGCTATGGTGACATTTACCTGTTGAGGGCTGTTGTTGGCATTTGGCAGCTGGCACTGATGAGTGCCAGACTTGGAACTCATGTTGATCGAAGAAGACTTTTAACTCTATTCAGCGCTATACACTTTGAATTCATGATGTTCTCTCGCTAAATCTGGGTTTGATAATTAAGTTGGGCTTCCTGGTTCTCATTCATCTTCTATTGGGTTTTGTGTGAGACTTCGCAATCTGTGGAAATCTGTGTTTATGCATGTGATCTGATGCACTCCAGCAAGTGATGAACAGTCGGGTTCCTTAAGAGAGAGAGAGAGAGAGAGAGAGAGAGAGAGAGAGAGAGAGAGAGAGAGAGAGGAAAGGAAGAATACTGCTGGAGCAATCGTGTGAGCGTGGCGTACCATTTCAGTGCATCGGTGATACTTGTATGATCTACTTGTGAAAGCTTCTCATACTTCACCAGCTCATTGCAATTTATCACACTATTTCCAAATTCTACAAACTTGTATTTTCGTTTGATAAGCTTCTGTCGATTGGTCCTCATATTTTGCTTTGTTCTTACATACCAGAGCAGAATGGCTCAATAAGGCGCTCGAATACCTCGCTTCCAAGATTTCTTCGCACGAACTCCTCCACGGACTCCTCCTTCCCCTGTATCCCCACCGCATGCCACATAAAAACCAATGTCAGCTCTGACAATCTTGTAGACTGTTACCTGCCAGTAATTAACTTTGGCATGACTGTGTAAACACCATGTGAAGTCCATCCACACAAAACATGTATGTTTGTGTTTGCTGCACGTGATTGTGGATGCAGCTCTTAAAGGATGGACGTCTCACAATGGAATGTCCTTTTTCCACAAGTACGTTTCCCACCCATTTTTTCGAAGTTGTGGCTTGCATACTGCCGCAGCATTCGGGGCTCGGCCACAGGGACAAAATGGCTGGCAGTGCCAGCCAAAAGAAGGCACACGGCGGTTTGTGTTCTTTTGGCACGCAGTGCTTTTCCAGCCCCAGAGAAAAGTGCCTTGGAAGTACTGGTGGTTTATGCTTTCAGTAATGGAATCATCAACACACAAATGTTTTTATAGGCCTCGCTGAACTACTCACTTCACCCTGGTTTTGGGGAAGTAACGTCGCTGCAGCAGTCACTCACCCCACCCATCTGACAATTTGGTATGTGAAGACATGCGAAAAGTGGGTGGGCTGAGTACTCACCCCAAAACCAGTTGCCCCTGCTTGCAAATGAGAGATTATAGCAGGACCTTTTAGGCAGCCACCACGCGAGGTCAGTTATGAAAACTTTCCAAAGGTCATCTCGACAGTTGTGTTTTCTTCTCACCTGTGCTGCAGCCACCTCTCCCCGAAGGTCGGCCACGTTTACTCACCCCCGAAGTGAACTGCTGAACATCGCTCACCCAGCCGTGGCTCTGGACTCACCTAGGGGTGAGTAACTTTTGGGGTGAGTGTGTGCAGCAGTGAAGCCCTTGAGTGAATTTCAAGCTGAGATGAGTAACAACCCCGAGAGGTGGCGTCGGGTGCATAGTGCAGCGAGGCCCTATCTCTCTACCAGTCTTCATCCTCATGCTTTATTTTGACACAGGAAGAAGAAAGGAAAACCCCCTGCCATGACAAATGTTTTCATGCTTCTGATTACGAAATCAAGAACCCACATCTATTTTGTCTCCCTGACAAACAAAGGGCTGGCTGCTCTTCCCAACTTGTTACATATGCCATATTTCAGGACCAGAAGAAAAAGAACTGCCATGGACGAATGTTTTTATGCTTTTGGTCCCGAACGATTTTATGTCTGGTAATCTTCATCTATCACGCCCTATTTCCAAATGGGAGACAAAGCTAAGGGGAAAAAATTTCAGCCTTCCGGTCACGACTGTTTTTATACCTTTGTTTCCGCAAAAAAATATCAACAGCACGTGTTAGCTGCAGCGCCTACAGATGGACCCATGAGCAACCTGGCAAGAAGTATGATGCCCTCCACACTCCCTTGTGACATCAGGGAAGCCCTCCCCAACTATTCCCGAGCACTTCTTCTCTCAACCTGCCCACCACTCCTCCCCTCCTCCCCCTCTGTGTGCCATGGAGTTAGCTTAGATTATCATTATTCAAAAAGGACACAGCCTCACAAGACCCAAGCAGGCGGACACTGCTGCCTTTAGTTCTGAGAAAATTGTAACCCCACCTCAAGTGAGAGCTGATGTTGCTTATAGCAAACTGTTCGTGTTGTCAGATGCAGACCACAGTGCCAGGAAGAAATGTTGCCACATTCATCCACATGCATCTCTTTTGTGCAGAAACGCAAAAGCTGGGTAATCTCCCTGTTGTGCAATGACTTGCTGGTTCCACATTGCCTGTAGCCTCAGTCTGACGAGGCTGTACCATAGTTAGAGACAGATTCATAATTTTGTTTGGCTGAGGACTAACCGAGAGACCTGCCTGTATGGAAAAGTCATGAGGGACATATCTGTGAATATAGAAATATGGGCCCAGTACTAACTCGATTTTCCTACAGCTACCCTAACTGAGAATAGCAGACCCGGACTACCCCTAGGACAGACAGGCCC